TAAAGTCTACTGCCACTGTTAAAAGACTATTTTCTTGTTAACAGTTTATATTATTTTAGTTAAGGTAGATAACTTTAATATAATGAAAATATAATATATTCAAGTACAGTCAATAACATATAAAACTTATTTTAACAGTATAAGACGAACACACGACCGGGCCTGTTGAGTATCGAAAATATACACGAGGCGATCTTTACGCCGGATAAACCAGGAATTATCATATGCGTTGCTCAGAATCTAATCGACAATAAGCCGATGACATCCCAGACCCGGGCGCATGTGTTTCTGGGCAACGTTGCCCAGAACATTAGTATATCTGGCCTGGATCCAAGCCGTAAGATAGCCAAGGGCGATGAGGAGACGTTCACGTGCTCTGCTCTGGCCTATCACTTCGATGGCAATCTGGAATGGTATCACGATGGAGAACAAGTGGTCGCCAGTCCTGGTAAGTGATTTTCGTACAGCATTAATTGATTGATTGATTGTCTAACTGATTGTGAATCATCTTTAAGGTATTGAGGTGGAGATGAACACCACGGAATATTCGTATACGAAGACACTGAGGTTCCATGCCATAGCCGACAAGGATCGTGGCACGTACGAATGCCGTGCACACTATATTAATAATCCAGATCTGTACGATAGTCGTGAGATCGATGTCTACGTACACGATCCAAAAGCTCCTCAATGGTCGTACACAAATCTCAATGCCAACTCGAAGATCGAACGCAATTTGGGCGACTCCCTGATCCTCGAGTGCAAATCGAAAGCAGTGCCACAGGCGAAGGTCTACTGGTACAAGGACGACGTCGAGCTATTCGAGACGAATCGCACACACATTGTTGAGGATGGCACCAAGCTGTTGATACCCCATCTGTATCCCTCGCACGATGGCAACTATCGCTGTGTGGTCTCCAATCGCTTGGGCAGCATAGAAAACTCCGTCAAGGTCATCATTGCAAGTAAGTGTGAATCTTTGTAGATAACTAGATATCAAGATATATATAGTATATACCCCGTTTTATAGATATGCCTGGCATGAGCAAAGCCTGGATTTGGTTCACTGTCATCTTCTTTTTGATTCTAATTGCCCTCTGCATTTTCCTGGGCATACGCTATCGACAGGAGCGTCGGCGTCATTTGGCCTTGAAGGCCGCTGGTTTGGCCAACTTTGTTGAGGGCGATGTGGAGCAGATCAATCCGGCTCTGTCGCTGGATGAGCAGGCGGAACTGCTGCCCTATGATAGTAAATTCGAATTTCGGCGCGAAAAATTGAAGCTGGGCAAGCAGCTGGGAGCTGGCGCCTTTGGCGTGGTGCTAAAAGGCGAGGCGGAGGGCATAAAAAACGATGAACCCGTCACCACGGTGGCCGTCAAAATGGTGAAACGCACGGCCGATGCGGAAGTGGTGCGTGCCCTGGTCTCCGAGCTAAAGATTATGGTCCATCTGGGACAGCATCTGAATGTTGTAAATCTCTTGGGCGCTGTTACCAAGAACATAGCGAAGCGTAAGTCATAGAAACTAGACTTTACAGCTTAATTTACATACGCATATCATTTTGACAGGTGAATTGATGGTCATCGTGGAGTATTGTCGCTTTGGAAATGTACAAAACTTTTTACTACGCAATCGCAAGTGCTTCATCAATCAGATTAATCCTATTACCGATCGCATCGATCCTACCATCATGACGCAACGAATCTCAGACAACTTCGATCTGCACCGGTAAGTGGCCAACAAAAGTGCATGTTAACATTTAACATTCAGGCAATCGCTAATGTCAACTAACATTGTTCTAATCTAATTTCCTGTTAACTAACATTGTTCCCGTTCTGCTGCAACTCGCGCTAACAAATGCTCTTAACTATTACGAAACCCAATTCACAAACTAATTACAACAATCAAATTTCCTTAAAATATACACACACACATCTATACAAATGTATATATACATATATATATATATATATATATATACACACACACACACACGCGCGCGCTTGTGCCTGTGGTTTATGGTCTACTATTCCTCTCTGCACTCTGCTCTGAACCTGCTAAATGTGTCTGTGTTGTGCACCCACTATGTATATTAACCAGTGATGGTGGTGTTGGTGGTGGTGTTAGTGGTGGCTTGAAATATGCTAACGTCGGTTTCCCGAACCATCCATATATCAATCACATGAACTCCGTAAACAACAACTATACGCACCATAATCGCAGAAACTCCGACAACGATCCACGTTCGGGCACACGAGCCGGCCGCACTGTAACAGGTGGCTCCACCTATGATCGTCAAATGGACACCTGTGCCACGGAGGCAACTGTGATGACCACAGTGCCAGAGGGTAAGTTAACTACTATAATTTAATTCCAGAACTCGATATAAAAATATTTGTCCGCTTTTTATTTTTAGATGATCACGTCATGTCCAACAATTCAATTCAACCCGCCTGGCGTTCAAACTATAAGACAGACTCCACCGAAGCAATGTCTGTGACCACCACCGACCTGATTAGTTGGGCATTCCAGGTGGCACGAGGCATGGATTACCTCTCCTCGAAGAAGGTGCTCCACGGCGATCTTGCAGCACGTAATATTCTGCTCTGCGAAGATAATGTGGTTAAAATTTGTGACTTTGGTCTGGCACGTTCCATGTACAGAGGAGATAACTATAAAAAATCAGGTAAGATTAATCAAATTACTTAACTTTGAACAATTAATTCCTAATCATTCTTCGACTTTTATTTTCAGAGAGCGGTAAATTACCCATCAAATGGTTGGCGTTGGAATCGCTCAGCGATCATGTCTTTAGCACCTACAGCGATGTGTGGTCCTTTGGCATTGTGCTATGGGAGCTATTTTCGCTATCGAAGGTGCCCTATCCAGGCATTGATCCCAATCAGGAGCTGTTCAACAAGCTCAACGATGGCTATCGCATGGAGAAGCCGCCCTATGCCAATCAGGAGATCTACGAAATAATGCTCGAGTGCTGGAGAAAGAGGTAAATTAAAAGAAAAATGAAGTCTTTATGAACTGCTTCAATTGAAACCCATTTCAATTTGATTAGTCCCGAGAGTCGACCTTTGTTCAATGTACTGGAAAGACGTTTTGCCGACATGCTAGGCGAGGATGTGGCCAATGTAAGTGGGATGTCTACAACAAATGCTCTATGATTTACTAAGAGAATCTCATTTGGATAATTGCAGCATTATCTCGACCTCAATGATCCCTATATGCGCTCGAACACAGAATATATGAAAAACCGGCCCACCGACTATTTGTCGTTGATGGGCGCGCCGGACGACTTTGCTCCATCGGCGCCACGCTATGTTAATGGACACATAGTGCCAAAGATAAGTAAGTACATGTTGAGTTTTCGCTTGGATGTGGATGTAACTAACTGAACTGCACACTCACACACCCACACGCTCACACACATGCTCACACTAACAGGAATTGAAGAATCATCCGATGATTATCTACAAATGAATACAGAGAACAGCACCGCCATCTTTTCACCTACGCGCCCCAAAGGCGATGCCGACCTAGCCGATTTGCCAGCCATAGACACAAACGAAACCTCTTTCACGTTCCCAGATACTAATCGCACAGTGGGCCAACAGCATTCGCCAACGCTGGCGAACAATATGGACTCTAGCATACATAAGCCGGTGCGACGCAAGAACGGATTGCCGACGACAGTGGATGCAGCTGATCAGGCACCCGAGGAGATACCCATGCTGCATCGCGTCTCCACATCGGATGGCGAGGAACGGAACAGTCCGGAGCAATCGCGGAGATTTCCCCAACAGTATGTTAATGCCACGCCCACGCCCTCGCCGCGACATCACATCGAGACAGCGCTGAATGGCAGCGGCGGCGACAACTACGTTAACGTGAAGCCGCCGCGCAAGAATCTGCCGAACAAATCAGCAGGAGGCGGCACAGATGCCTTCTCCAATCCCAGCTACCAGCCATTGAAGGCGGTCAACGAGAAAGAAGAGCGGAGATATTAAAATTAAGCATAGCATATATAGAAGATATTTAATTAAACGATGCTACCTAGTGGCATGATATAGTTGTTAAGCATTCACTCAACCCATATTGCCTAGTGTTTAGTGTCCGCATTTCGTATATACATACATACACACATATGCCTGTACTATTAAGTACATATTGTACTATATTTTCTAAGAATGAATATTCATATATGTATGTTCTCTATGTATATGCTCGACATAAGTTCAATGTTAATTATATGCGAATATCTATGTAGTATGTACATATATTTAACTCATTTTAAATGTTATCAAATTAGAAACGAAAAATGTATAACAGCTTATTGTTAAGTCTAACAGACTCAGACAACACATAGACTAGGCATGAGAGATTAGAGATTATGTATACACGATTCTATGTTAATATATTATTCATAACAGCTTAAGTTATAAACGATCTTTATGTGCTTTTTCTATTTATTTAGACAGGCCTATTTAACTCATTGATTTGGTCTGTTTTAAATGTTTCAATAACATCTTTGTTCATGAAAATTTATCTGCTTAAAAATTAAGTACAGACATATTAAATGGATTTTCAAATTTGTTTTTGTGTAACTTTTGATAAAATGGAAAAATCTTTTTGGATAACATTTTTATTATTTAGAGCCAAAAGATAATTTATTTTCTGCATATTGTTAAAAAAAAAAAAAAAAAAAGAACATTTCCGACTCTAAGCTACAATATTTATAAGTATAGGCAGCCCTTTTGAATTCCAGTATTTCTAATACTTCTGATTAATCTTGTTTCCATATTTCTTGCTAGAACTATTAAATAAACATATTGTATATATGTTTGTATTGCAGGCGCATTGTGTCGTTTTTGAATTTACATTCAATTATTATTATTATTATATTATGCATCCCTGCCCTGTATCAGTATTTTTTCATCAAGTTGGCAGCTCGGCTGCTATTCACAGCGATGAGTGAGACGGTCGCCATGAAACGGTCACATTGCACTGCTAAGAATATAAAACGCAGGCACGGCGTTCCATTTATCTTTGGTAATTTTACTCCTCAATTGATAAAAACAAAGTGAAAATTAAAAATGACTTGAATAACTTTTAGAATACATAACCATCTTTTTTTTTTTTTTTTTTTTTTGATTTTTTTTTGCACGTGAATAGTATTTCTAAGTATTTAGCCGCTAAGTGAAAACAACAACAACAACAACATCTATTGCTAGAGGAACGCCAGCCAACAAATTCGATGAAAGCCGGTGAAAACGTACAGCTAATGAAATTAAATAACATGTTTTAACGGAAGCGCGGTGCAGCTACGGCAAGGCAGGCGGCAAACGCAGCAGCTCGCCCAGCGCAGTATCCGACTAACGGGAACTGTCATTAAACGTTTATCCACATTTTTCTATTGTCCATCCATTTACACAATGGAGGCACAAAGACTTTATATACAAATTACGCTACTCTCATTGAAGTCCGCGTCGAACTTGTCGACCCGTCGCATTCATGAGATCAATACTGGTATTGGTGAACTGCGTCAGCTGCTGTCGTGTGCCGTCTGCTGTAAGCTGCTCAATGATCCCTACAAGCCGAAGGGACGCCGTTGTGGTCACCATGTTTGCCGGCTGTGCATGCGTGGACGTAAAAATCTGTGGCCCAGTTGTCCGCAGTGCAAGGACTGTTCAGATTTCCGCACCTACGAGGAGAACAAAACAATGGCTCTGCAGTTGCTGTGCTATAAAACGCTCTGTGTGCATTTACGGCAGTCTGCGCTGTATTCGGAGTTCTTTCATCTGCGACCGGACATTAAGACTTCAATCAACGTCGAGCGGAAGCCACGGATTCGGCTCCCGAATAGATCGACACAGTGGTTCATAGAGGAGGGCGCCAACTATGAGAATATGTCTGAAACATTTTTGCTCCAGCCGGATTTACCGTTTCTTGCAAATGCTCCGTCATCGTTGCCAGCGGAGACGCCTCCAACGACAGCGGCCACCACTCCTGAGCTGCCGTACGAGCAGCATATGCCGAATCAGTTGTCCATTACGGACATTGAGCTGGAGGCAGCTGCAACTGGGGAGCAGGCGCAGTATGCTCATCCATTGCCCATGATGACATCCGGAGCACGAATGTTGACACACACTCACATCGCACCCCAGCCCCAGCAAGTGCTCGTTCCCGCGGATGAACCAATGTTGCCAGCCGGTTACATCGAATCGCCGTGGTCGGATCAAGTGGATCTATCGGGAGCTTTTACGATACCTGCGGATTATGTCAACAGCACGTCCAACTATACAACCTATGTAATGCCGAATGGCGAGGTGCATATGGCCCCCATTGGTCAGGTAGTGCAGCTATCACATCAAGAGCAGCTATCAGAGCAGGATCAGCTATCACAACAAGAGCAACTGTCACAAGAGGAGCAGCTCGCAGAAGTCGCAACAGTTGAACCTATGGAAACAGTTGAGCCAGATGTGCCAATTGTCGCCAGCACCTCCAAGGCGACTGCTTTTAAGTCAGTGAATGCCAGTGGCTCCATAAAACGGCGTCGTGCACAAATGCTGCTCGACCATGTGGAGGACGAGGAACTGTTGCCAAGCACCAAAGCCGTTGCGCCCACGAGCACGCTCACAAATTTCCGTAATAAGAAACCCACTATAATCTCGTCGGTTCAGGTTAAGCCGCCAACAGCAACAGGATCACCCATAAGGACAGTAGCAGCTGCTCCAATAGCTACAGATCCAGCTACAGCTCCAGTTCCAGTAGCTGCAGTTCCAATGGCTGCCGTTCCAGCTCAAGTATCTGCAGTTCCAGCGTCTCTAGCTCCAGTTCCAGTAGCTGCAGTTCCTATATCTGCAGTTCCTCCTTCAATGGCTATAGTTCCAGCTCCAATAGCTACAGCTCCAGCTTCAATAGCTGCAGTTCCTGCTCCAATAGCTGCAATTCCAGCTCCAATCGCTGCAGTTCCGGCTCCAATCACTGCACCTCCAGCTACAAAAGTTATAGTTCCAGCAGCTCCCAAGCCTGTTGCGACTACTGTTGTCAAGGCTGCTCCGAAGCCTGCTCCGATGACTGCTGCCAAGCCTGTTCCGAAGCCTCCTGCCAAACCTGTTGCCAAGCCTGTTGCCAGGTCTGCTCCCAAGCCTGCTGCAGCAACTCATATTGCAACCGCTGCCAAAGCTGCACTTCCTGTGTCTGCGTCAGTCGTTGCAAAAACTCCTGCAGCTACCGCTAAAATGGCGACCATGCCACACACATCCACGCCAAAAGCGATAGTCCATAAGCCCAAGCCCAAGGATGCGCGCATGTCACACATCTGTCGCTGTGGCACCACCTCGGCACCTGGTAAGGCGACCTGTCGCAATTCGCGCTGCACTTGCTATGTGGCGGGCAAATCGTGTGTGGATTGCAAATGCATTGGTTGCAAGAATCCACATCAGGATGCAACTGATACGAGTGATGAGGAGGACTTTAACATGGATATAGAAACAGAGGTGGCACCAGCCGAGGAGCCCGCTGAGGAGCCCGTTGAGGAACCCACTCCAGCATCAACTGACATGCAATCAGGCTTCACATTAGTGCCCCTTGACAATCTACAGCAATCGCAGCATCCGCTGGTCCTCATGCAAAACGAGAATGGTCAATACCAGGGTATGTTAGAGGCTTGAGTATAGTTTCCCTTGGCCTTTGCAAACATTCAGTGAATAATTTCTCTTGATCTTCCACGGCAGGTTTCAACATATTCAATGGCAGTGAGCCCGTCGATCCGGCCACGCTGGGTTTTCAGCGCGTACCGTTGCGTAGCAATGATGGGAACTCATCAATACCTGAATTTGCTTATATAATGCCACCGCCGACGGTGGAGCCAACGACAGCCACAACGGAGCCAGATCCACCACCATCACCCACAATGGAGCGCCCGGCGAAGAGATTCAAGAGCTTCCGCAAGAGGTTAGATATGGAACGCAATGTGCTCAGAAAGTCGGCCGATATGCTTGTCAGCGCTGGTAATGCTGCTGCTGGCGACGGCAGTATGGACGGTGACAAGGATGAGGCCATTTTGGAGCGTATCTTCTCGGATTTGTAAGCAATCAGTGTAGTAGACGGGCTAACCGGCCTCGCAATTTGTACATGGTCCTCGTTTTATAGTTGCCATCATGTTCGTTTAGTTGTGTATGTTGTAAATATTTGTATGTAGGTAGAACTGTGCGTGTCTCTTCATGTATGTGTGTCCTGTACCTGTGGACCGATATATACCACTATTTGTATATATATTTATGATACCTAAATCCGATTCAGGTACAGGACAAACCATTTCTCTGGTCGGTTGCAATCGACTTAAGCGCTCATCCCCTCATCTCATCTTATTTTATTTCAGCTCTTATTTTCAATGCACAATCGTATCTTACACATTTTATGCTTGTTTTATTCACGTTGATTAGCTGGTTTAACCAGCAGCTCAAGAAATTCACATTCACTCATCTACACAGATCTGTTAAGATCATCACACTTGAAGACGTTGAGTGACAACTGAAATTATTTATATTTTATCCAATGTAATTCCTTATGTATTTGATTTGATCCTTATCTATCCCTAAGTGATATATATGTATGTTTACGTACATAGCAAGCAAAATAGCTTGATAATCTTTTTTACGCTTAAGTCGGGCGCCGCAGTGCAGGGCTCATACGTCTGCACGAACTGAGGGAAACGGAAAGCAAAGCAATTTGTATTAATTACTCGTTCAACGAATTGTAACAATTAGTCAAAGTCTAATACCAATAATAATTATTATAATATGTATTATGTATTATAATAATTATTATTCATTGAATGCTTTGTATGCGGCCGCTGTAAACCAAAAAAGGAAAAACTACAAAAACAATTTTTTTTTTCATAGTTTGTAAGGCAATTTTTTTCATAGATGTAAGAAAATTTTTTTTGTATAGCTATAAGATAATTTTTTTCATAAGATTAAGCCAATTTTTTTAATATTTTTAAGCGCAAAGTTTGTCATTAGTTTAAGGCGATATTTTTTTTCATATCTTTAAGCAAATTTTTTTGAGCACGAAACATATTTAAACTTTTTTTTTTTAGCACGAAACCCCCTTTTTTTTGAGCACGTGAAAACATTTTTTTTTATTATTATTTTAAGATTGTGTATGAATTGAATTTAAAATCCTAATTGCAAAAAATGTAAATGCAAATTGAACAATAAAAATGAAACTAAAACTAAAACAATTTGTTAAATCCGTTAGGTGTTGCAAAAGATGTAAAGAATGTTGGACAAAAAAATTGTCAAAATTTAAAGCGTGTAACAAAAGACGTTTCAAACTTATTGCTAAATTATGAATTGAAAAATACGATATAGTTGTTATTTCGTATTGTGCCAATTTGATATAGTTTTGGCATAAGACTTATTTCTGAATTTAACCAAGATGCTAGCTCGTTTAGACTGCTCATTCGTTATATAACGACAAATTCTTCAAATATGGTTTATAATATATGTAAAAAAAACAAAAAATAAAATTATATCAGAATCATAATACCATATTATTTGTAGAATTTGTAGGAGCTATAGCTCGTTAGCAGTATATGCAAATGCAATGCCATGGAATTTATATAAACTTCTCGATGCGATGCTGCTCAAATTGAATGGCTCAGCCACGCGCTCACTCAATTCCCAGATTCAGAAGGGGGAGCAGAATAAACAGCATCGAGCTCGACTCAAATTCGGTTTAGCTCAACATTAGCCGTGCCCTTTGATAAGCGCGACGGCTGCTGATGCTGCTGCTGCTTGCTGCTACTGTGCTCATCATTATCTCTTGATTAACGCAGCGGACAGTCGTCAGTTCGACTTCGAGTCCGAGTGGAGGCAGCAGCAAGTGCGCATCCGTCATCCAGTGTGTCTGTGTGTTCTTGTTGTTGTTGTTGTTTTAGTTCCTCAACTGATAAGCAGAGATTAATATATTCAAAATCGCACAAAGATGAAAGTGCTGATAGTTTTTCTCGTAGCATACCTAATCCTGGGCAGCGTGCGTGCGCAGGATGAAAACGGTGAGCAGCTGTGCAAATAAGTTTAATTTAAGTTCATAGTTATCTATAAAGTTCAGTTGAACCTTGTCACCCGTAGCAGAGGCTAACGACGAGAACGATGAGGCGCACAATATTGAGGCAGCCCAAAATCGCGTGGCCGCACAAATCGAAGGTCTGCTGGAGCACTACAAGCAGGAGGATCCAGTTGGAGTGCCAGGTGCACCCATACCGGATCCAATGGATGTGCCCGATATGGCCAAGAGTCTGGGCATGGCTAATCTGAACATGTTGAAAGTGAAGGCCTACGGCCTGTCCAAATTTCGCATATCCACCGTCGACGTGGACTTCAAAAAGATGAAGGCAGGTGACAAGGAAATGAGTTCAATCTGATCGTAATCCTTTCCATCTGGTTTATTGCAGGCAGAGGCAGGCATACAGCTGGACCAAATGCTGGTCAAGGGCAACTATATACTTAGCTCCTTTTTCTCTAAGGCCAACGGACCGTTCACCGTCATCCTAAAGAAGGTCTATGTCCGTTGCTCGGTGACGCTCGGGGTGGAGCGCGATGGTCATCTGACCACGGAGCACATTGATATGGACATTACCTTTGGTGAGATGGCTATGGATTTCCAGAATCTTGGCTTCTTGGGCAGCGTCTTCCAGGGCATCATCAATTCAGCACCCAATTTGGTATTCGATGCCATGAAACCCTTTATGCTGCAGGAGGCGGACAAGCAGATGCGCGGTGAGATCAATACAAGGATTGAGAAATTCATGGGAGACCGCCGCATGCCCAATTCGATAACGCCACTGGACAGCGCCATTGCTGGCCTACGCAAAATGGTCAGAGAGAAGGGCTACGATCCGTATCGCTTGGAAGACAAAAATCGCACCATGGGCGTCTTTAGTGTACAGCTCACCAACACTTGGATTACGGGCTGTTCGAGTTTCTATCGGGTGGGCAATGTAACTGCCGCCATGCACAACAACACCATATCGATGCGCATGCAGTTGGGCACACAACAGATCACCGGAGCTGGGCAATGGGAGGTTGGATTTGGCCTGATGACTCGAGTGGGTCATGTTCAGTTCACCGTGCAGCATATCCGTGCTACAGTGGAGATCAGCCAGCCATTGGACACACGCAAGCGACCACAGATCAACGATCTTCAATTCGACATGGGCAATATTCAGGTGCGCTGCGATGGAGCCGGCACTCTGGACTATGTCATGGAGTTTGTCGTCAATGTGCTGCCCAATCTGTTGCGCTATCAGATCATGGATGCCATCGAGAATCCCATTAAGCAGCGTGTCCAAGAGAAATTCAATGCCATCGATGTGGAACAGGTACTCAAGGTGGCCTTGGAGAAATACAAAAAAGATGGCTTGAATTTCATCTACGAATACAAGCTTGATAATTTGCCATTTAACTAATTAATTGTTTTTTTTTTGTAAAGCTTTCTTTTATATATGTAAATCTTAAGAGTTTTACTCTGCAATGTAAGCATTACTTTGCCAATTAAATACAATTCAAATAATACAATTACTCTAGCAAATGAAAACTCAAATCAATTATATAAAATTATAATAGAAAGTTTTCGCTAAAGTAATTGTTCAGAAAATCGCAAATGATAAATAGTTGATATATATATAACTAAATTGTGGAGAGGAAATGTGCTCAGGGCTCCTTGACAGCAAAGCAAAGCAATTGCAGGCGCATATTCCGTTTGACACGTTCCAAAATCTCATCCGCTTTGCGTTTCTGTTCGCCATTGAGGGGCGGACTAATGGCCTCCAAGGCCTCCATAAAGTAGTTTCTATGGATAGAATGATAGATGGAGTTAATAAAGTAAATACTTAGATAAGCATATGAATAGAATTTAGCTCACTTGGCGGTCTCATTGGCATAGTTCTCGAGGCCATCGCGCAGCAGTCGTATATCCACATGTGCCTGAATGGCGCCCGTGTAGCTGAAATGCTGGACACAACTCATCAGGCGAGCAAGCTCCTCCGATATAGTCTGCACAATGGACTCCAGTATAGGACGCAGCAACGCGGGCGAGATGCTGTAAATCTCGGAGTAGACACCTACTAGATTGTCCAAGCATTCGTGCGCATACGGACGCAATTGGCCCAGGCCAATTTCCATCTCGTGATCCCATTGAAAGCGACCCAGGTACATGGACGGTTCGATGGTGCCCACCAATGGATCACCCTTATGCTCCACATACTCCTCCAGTAGATTGGTAAACAATTGATTGGCATTGTAGCGAGCCGTCTCAATAGCCAGCGTGGGCAGTGGATAGCCATGGCGCACAAAGATGTCGCCAATGTGCGCAAAGAAACTCTTGTTGCAATACGCGTAGTTGGCCAGGCAGCAGAGCATGCGTTGCTCCCAGTTGAGAGCAGCGCCTCCACCACTACCACCGCCACCACCAGACACCGACTCCGGTTGCTGGGCATTGGGAAAGCCCAGCAGCTGCGATACATTATGCGTGGGCGTCTCATCGTCATGCGAGGGATACGCCAGTTCGGCAATAACGCCGCTGAAAGTGGACAACAGCTCTTGCAAACGTTGGGTCACTTCACGCTGTCCATCCGAATGGGGCTCGAGCAGATTACCCTCACGCACCTCTGGCTGCATGCATACGGTCTGCACCTCTTCCAGAGTTTCCACTAACAGTGCTTCCAGTGCAGCGGGCAGTTGCGTCGCACCCGGATAATCCTCTACAGTTGTTTCCCATGTTTCCTGTGCGCCTAACTTCTTGCAACGATCCGTGGCTCGTTTAAATATGATGGAGAAGCAAAACAGACGCACTTCATCAATGAGCTTCTGTATGATATCCAGTGCATCCGAGGGCAGATCCAGTCCAATCAGCGTGGCATAAGCGATGCGCGTGTAACGCAAACATTGCGGAATCCATGGCAAGAAATGGTGCGTAGCCGATGAGGAGCCAATTGGCCAGGATAGGCCGCTCGACTGCCGCAGAGCACGCTGATCTGCAGCAATGAGAATGGTCAAGCGGAGATAGATACAAAACTTCTCGATCGCAGTTAAGACCATGCGCTTAAAGTCGCCCGGCTTGGGATCATGCGGTCCACGTAATTCGCCTGTGAAATACAGCTGGCCCAGGCGCCACAGATCGGGTAGCTGGGAGGCGGCTATATCGCAGAGTTCCTCGCAAAAGTTCACACGATTTGGCGGCTGATTGGGATCGCGGCTCTTGGCCTTCTCCTGTGTCGCTGCATCTTTAGTAGCATACTGGTCGAAGGTCTGACGGAATGTGGATTCCAAGTACTTGGCACGTGCCTCGATGGCATCCCAGGCGGGATCCGTATTGCGCAACCGGTCGCCAATCGCTGTGCCGCTCTGCTGCATTTCGAGGCTAGTAAGCGCCTTGATTAGCTTCTTTTGCTGCTCTACACTCTGCGGCATCTTTACCACCTTCTCGTGCAGTTGTCTACGGATCAATAAAATGCGCTGATCCACCTCCTCGAGCACTTGACGGAAGATGGCCAGTTCCGTTTTCCCAAACAGATTCTTCGCACGCGAATAGTCATTGACCACAATGTCATATTCCCCAGCCTTGGCTCGCCGATCCACGCTGTTGGGCAAACAGAACAGAAACTTGTGACGCGACAGAGCGAAGAGTACCGACCGTGTGGAGTCTGCCTTCTCCTTCCGCACGAGCACATCATTGAAAATCTTTTGAGATTCACTGATGGAGTCTGCAAACGATAAGTAGAAGTAGCTACATATATAGAAAGATATTATATATATTATAACTACTCACTCTCAATGGACTGCTCGAGTACTTGAAAAGGTTCTTTGCCGTACAGTTTGACATCCTCTTGGAATTTATCGCGTATATTCATTAGAGTGTCCAGCTGATCGATTACCGAGCCCGCGTTAGATTTCAAAAAAGAGAGTTGTCCCTCTTTCTGGCTCTCGACTTTACGCTTTAGGTATGACAGGCCCGCCTTTAGGTCCTCAAATGAAGTGGCCAGGTGATTCTCGAGCAAAAACCAAGCGGGTGAGAAATTTTCCTGAGACAAATCGCCACAAGCATCGGGAAACAAATCGCGTAAGTCTTCTGGAATTTTTTGTTCATTCCCCTCAATGGAGAGTCCCAAAGGATCTTCCTGGGTCAGACCCGATTGGGTAAGAGTGCGTCGACCCCAGGCAAAGTTTTGCGATGGCGATTCCTCTATCCACACAGCCGACTCCTTGAGGGGTCCAATCGTTTCATGGTATGCTCGGAATTGAACCGTAGATGTGCCCACGCCTCCGCTGATGGTAGTGACTATAATATCACCCTTTCCCTTGGCTGGGCCAGTGCGTGCAATAATTTTATTAGGCGATTTCCACTCTGCCGACAGCAGACAGTCGGATCCACAGATTTTAAGACCTGAATATGCGTTGAAATAGTATGAGAAAAAGAAACAAACGCTGATTACCAATGTTTTATTTACCAATGAGATCCTGCGCACGACACCCCAGAAACTCGCCACGTATGATGACGCGGGTACCAGGCGGACCTTCCTTAGGTGATAGTCCCGTTACCACCGGCTGCGGGGCCATCACGTACAAAATAAATAATAATAATAATAAATGAACAACGCCTACAAAATTGCAGCCGGATCAACAAACTCGATGCTTTTTCAATAAGCGTACAGTGTGTAAACACCATTTCATTATTTGTGCCATCAGTGTTATCGACAGTGTGTACACACGAACAGCTGATCAATAACTAAGCCGAACGAACAGCTGTTTATTTACTTCGACGTTGATTACAAGAGGAAAATGGATGACGTCGCCAGCGCGCAAAGCGAAAATGAAAATTTGCGTAAAATTCGTAATCGTTTGATGAAATGGGAGTCCCAGAGCGATCCACTGGCAGCGCTAAGCGCACAGCAGGAGGAACATTTGGAGGTGCTCACCAATTTGTGGAACGACGACGAAATGATGGTAAGCTGCAAATCCATTAGACACGCAGGCCAAAACAAATTTATGGGTATTGACTTTTTTATTTATTCACTGACAGGTGACATCGGGGTACACACGCACCGAAGTGTACACCGCAGTGGAGGATAGGACCGAAGTGGAAAAGCAGCTGCCCCCAGACGGTCTGCAGAATATGAGTGATTTTCTGCTCTGGTTTGTGAACGTAAACACGGAGATCGAGCTACGTGGCGATGCAAACTACCACAAGTATTTGCAGCAGTTGCAGCAACGCAAGGCGGAATGTGCTCATATGCTCGAGCAAATCTCTGTGGCCATGGATAGACTGAGTGCGCTGAGCGCTGAGTACGAATTTGTTTCGCAAAAAACTAGCGCTCTGAACATGGCCAGCGAGCAGTTGATTGACGAGCAGCAAAAGCTCCAAGAGCTCAGCAACGAAATTCAGCGACGTTTACATTTCTTCAGCCAAGTGGAGTTGCTCAACCAGCGCCTGCAAAGTCCCACTTTGTCCGTGGCGAGCGAAGCATTCCGCGAATGTCTCAACAAAATCGATGACTGCCTGAATTATCTAGCAGAGCATGTAAGTAGACTCCTCTCCTAGTTTATTCGCCCAAGCAATAATTGTGATTATGTTGTAGCCTAACTTCAAGGATGCAACTGCCTACAATTTGAAGTATAAGCAGTGCCTAGGAAAGGCGACGGCTCTGGTGCGTAACTATATTGTAAATGTCATCAACCAAGCGACGGAGGCGACTTTACATCCACGCAATAACAGCAACGATGCCTCGCTGCAAGCACCCGATGCTGCGTTCGCCCTTTACTATGGCAAATATCAATCAGCTGCCGCAAAAGTGAAGCGTGTGGCACAACTCATCGAGTCACGGTTGGAGCAGAGCAACAGCAGCGAGTATAGCCAGCTAATGACAGATTTGCAACAGCATTACTTGGCACAGCGTGCAAGTGTCATGTCTCCAGCTGTCAACCAATCTATACAAAATGTAAAAAACGCCCACAAGGGCGATCATTGTTCGCTAACACGCAGCGCGTGTGCATTTCTCGTTCACGTCTGCCAAGATGAGCAGCGTTTGTATTATCAGTTCTTCGGCACTGGCGCAACGCATCTAACGTGAGTTCAACTAGCAATAACAATTGAATTCACTCACTTATATTACATTTTCTTGTCTGCAGCGTTTATTTAGAGGGTTTGTGCACCATTCTCTATGATACCTTGCGTCCTTTTATTATCCACATCAATCACTTGGAAACGCTTGCAGAGATCTGCTCCATCTTGCGCATTGAAATGCTTGAGGAGCATGTGCAACAGAATCGTAAGTGATGAATGCATTTTTCTTTAATTTTTCATTATTCTATATACACATTACAGCCAGTGGACTGGAAGCCTTTGCGACCATAGCTAATCAGCTGCTGCAGGACGTGCAGGAGCGCTTGGTATTCCGTGCACATTTGTATTTGCAGTCCGATATACAAAACTATAATCCATCAACGGGTGATTTGGCCTATCCAGAAAAGCTGGAAATGATGGAGGTACGTCCACCTAAGCCTAAATCTCTTCGAACTTTATATATTTATTAAATACTTATCCAATAGAGTATTGCTTTGTCTCTGCAAGAGCCAGTCCAGCTGCGTCGCTCGGATTCGCGTGCCTCCATGATGTCTAGTGAAGCAGAGAGCGTGGACACCGCCTACAAAGTCAAACAAATGAGTAAGCTCTCAAAATCTCATTAAAAGCAGAGATTAACTTTGATATCATTTCTAGACTCGCCCGCTGATTTGCATGGCATGTGGTATCCAACGGTGCGACGCACATTAGTCTGCCTCTCGCGATTGTATCGCTGCGTGGATCGACCCATCTTCCAGGGTTTGTCTCAAGAAGCACTCAAACTTTGCGTACAGAGCGTGTCGCAGGCAGCGGCTAAAATCTCAGCAGCCAAAACACCGATTGATGGCGAGCTCTTTGAGATTAAACACTTGCTCATATTGCGCGAACAAATCGCCCCGTTTCGTGTTGATTTTACCATTAAGGAAACATCGCTGGACTTTAGCAAGGTGAAGACGGCGGCCTTCGGATTGTTGCAGAAGCGCAAGCAGCTCTTCTCCATGGGCAGCAACAATGCGCTGCTTGAATTTTTGCTCGAGGGCACGCCACAGATCAAGGAGCATTTGCTAGACTCGCGTAAAGAAGTGGATCGACAGTTGAAGACAGTTTGTGAGCTGTATATCAAAGATGCGGTACATATGCTTGTGGGTCCGCTCATCACATTCCTGGACAAGGCACAGGCACTGCTGGCAACGAATACCACAACTCCGGAGACCACAGCAGGCAAAATCAACTATGTGCTGCGACAAAGTAGCTGGGCGAGTCCACAGCAAATCAGTAGCATTATCCAGGAGACACAGCGTCTGATCAAGTCCAAGTTGGCGGTGCTGCAGCGTGCGATGCAGCTATATCTGAGCAATCGTGATACAGAGTTTATAATTTTTAGACCTATACGAGTAAGTCGTATGAGGATTAGAAGAGGAATAAATTACCAATTGTATCCATATCTTCCCTTGCAGAACAACATAATTCAAGCATTTGTGAAACTGGAACAATTGCTGACAACAAATGGTTATTCGGCTGATGACATGATAATCACGAGCTGTCCCTCTGCTGAGCAGGTTTCAATTTTATTGTCAAGTGCCAGCATTTTAGCCGCCGAAGGCGTGGCAAGCTTTGCAGCCGCAGCACGAAAGATAAGCACATCGTCATCTGTGGAAGGAGCCGCGACTGCTCGGAAGCTGAGCACCATATCTAACAAGGCGGAGCAAGCCCAAGCTGTAGTTATAGAGGAGCCGGAAGTTGAGCCAGCGGAGACAGATGCTAAGCAGAACATAGTTCCAGAACAACCAGCGAATGTTTCTGTAGAACAAGTCGCTAATGAGGAGCAAGTCACGGTGACTAGCACTAATTAGTATGCAATATATATAGTCTCTATGTAACCCTACCCTTACCCTATGTATGTATTTATAAAGCTAAGGCATTTCAACATGTATATTACAGTTTATTCTTCCCAACTAGAGCTAATCAATCGAGCCGATTTCTACAACCAAGTTAAAAGACATTTGAAGCCGGCTCGATTTTGAATTATTTTTGCTAAGAGCAGCGTTAAGCATGCAGAGAATGTGACGAAGTCAACGTAAATTATCAACATTAAATATTAATTACAAACAATGTGAATTAGTTTATCTAAACATCTAACAAAGGGCAGCACACACTGGCTGCTGGTCAAGTGATGGATATGTTTCCGTTGCGAATTTTGAGACTAAGATAATAAGCATTTATCCTTTTCATTTGCTTGCTGTGGGTCGCGTCCACCCACAGTCGTAGCGCGTTGAGTAGTGGCTGAGGACGTTGCTGATCCGTTCCGATTGGCTCCAGATGCGTCATCTTGTTCCATAATTGATAAAGCCAGAGCATGTGCCAGGGCTTCGTCCTCAGTCTAGCCAATATATGATTTAGGTTAAATATTAGGCTCTAGATCTGTCCGAGTTATATTCGTTATGACTTACCATATTTCCTTGAATATTTTGTACTTGAGTGCGCTGTGCCACAGTCGCAGTGGCTGCAGGCACTGGCCTGGATTTGGTATTAGTTTGGGACTTGCTTTGGAGTCGTCTTTCAGCTGCTTGCGCTGCCTTTGCACGCGTATCTGAGAATATTTTGAAAACGCCCTGTGATGTGCTCGCTGAAGCAGAATCCAAAGCTGAGGTAGTAGAGGCTGGCTTGCAGTCATGGTCGCTTGTGTGGCGATGACGTAGGCAAAAGTTTAATTTGCATTGCGAGCACTGAACAGGTATTAGCTCCTTGCGTTTACAGCCTTTCGCATGGCACCGATTCGTATAAATTTTTTTGCTATCCGATTTGCATTGCTTATCTATATGCTGGCTGACCGTTAGGTCGGGCTCCACGCCCGGAGCCGTAGGCACAGGCTCTCCGCACAGCGGACAGATGGGCACTTGGAAATTTTTCTTGTGAGCTCCTGGGCACTTGTGACGTTCGTAGTTGTAGTGACTGGCACAGAACACCTTTTCGCATGAGTCACACTTAACAGGCAGGAAGTCTGCCATAAAAACAATTGTGTTTACATTAGTTTAATTAAGACTCTGCTAATTCCCAATAGGCCATACATACCTAATCTGTTGCATGTGGGTTCGTTGCAGTGTTGGCCCAAATGTGGAAACTCCATAATTATGGACTAAGTTCGTTGCTTCGTTGGTTGTAATAAAGTAAATGCTGTAGCTGGTTTGTGACTGTTATTTATTAAAAACCTAAAAATGAGTGAAAATTCCAGAACGGGCTCGACACAATGACTACACAATATTAACACTGCGATTTCACCATTCGCTGTCAACAGCGTTTATTTGCCATTCGCAATGTATCGATTACTGCTAAAAGTATCGTTATCGAAATTGACTAAGCTAGCGTTGACAGTTAGAAAGTAAATATCTGCCACATCTGGATACATACATATTTACAAATTTATTCATTTAAATTTTATGTAGTGTTGTCATGTTACAAACGGATTTCAGAATATACATATACATATATATAATAACCAACAACAATGATGGGACTATTCGTTCCCAACTCAATCACTTAATTACATTTTTGTATTTGCTTCATGCATTCATTTAATAACGGCCTTCATTGAAGTTAATTTTTGTTGTTTTTTTTTACATAATACCGAAGATAAATTGAGAATATTTTCGCGCTCTGCGACATGTAGACTACGCCAAACGTCTATAATAAACATTTTTAAATTTGTATACATTTACAAAAATAAAAGCAATAGTTGCAATAATAATAATAATTACTGTGTGAGCATAAAAATAATATATATATATATATATATATATATATATATATATATATATATATATATATGTGTGTGTGTGTGTGTGTGTTTGAATGCATCGGTAGTAAAAGTTCAACTTTATCTATACGAGGAATTTAAAGCGTTAGGATATTCCTAACGGCAACAGCAATAGCGGCAACTTGTAAATCCATTTTTAGATCAACCATTTCTCGATCTCCACAATTTTGGTCCCGCGCACTCGCATAGATAATTCTTTAATTACATATGTTCAGCTAAATGCCGCATTGCTGTTTAGTTAAACCTTTTGGAAATGCATTTCATGAATTGAATTAAAAGTTAAACGATTTCTCTGGCAAATGGAGCGAATGCCTCCCAGTAACTGATTATCTGTGTAAAATAAAATAGCATTAAATAAAATATTAAAATATAGATTAATCTATAGTTTCACCTGTTGCTGATGAGCCATTTGAACTTCGATATATTTTATAATGTTAGCCTTGAAGTCTTTTACTCTGCTTAACTCAAAGCGCTCCATTTCTCGCTTTATTTCGGCCGAAATATCATCGAACTGCTGCTGACAGCGTTGCACCTTCCCTTGCCACTGTGAAACGAGATAATTATTGTAATAAATGTGTGTGAATGACATATCAAAATCGTATGCCCAACCTCTTCGACCTCCTGTTGTGCCTGATCTAGTTTATCAGCACGATTGGCCAACTCAAATCGTCCGCGATTCTCACGTCGCTTCGACAGCTGCATTTGAGCGTATTGCCAGTTTTGAAACGCTTTAACACGCTCATGGAAAATGCACTTAATCGCACCGAATAGACCTAAATAGTCTTTGATGAATTCGGCCAGTATGTAGAAATCTGAGTTTGCCTGCTCCGAGCGTAGGAGTTCTATCTTTTCTTCTACATCGGCGAGATTCGAGAGCGCACGCGAGAGACCTGTGTGCTCCTCGCAGGTGCTCAGCATAGCTGCTGATTTCGCCACCAGGCCAGTCAGTACGGACAGCTCCCGGCGTGAGGAGACGAGCGACTTTAGTGCTGACGAAAGCTTTTGCAGATTTGAATCCAAGTGCTCAACTTCAGTTATCTTGTCATCGAACCATGGATCATTTTCATCCATCTTGTACGTAATCTTGTTAACTGTTTCGCCGACCTTATTAAATAATCGTATAACGCCGGCGCCGCTTAAAGCGGACGTATTCACCGCACGCGGCAACTCCTGGTCGCTCTCCAAGAAATTGATGAAATCCAAATCGACGCGCAGGACCGGATGCTGGGCTGTACGTTGGACGAATCGTTCGAGTGCCGCACGTCGTATCTCGATCCATTCCTGATTAATCGGTGTGCCCGGCTCGGTTTGCTGTGGACTCATTTTAACCTTGGTGCTGCCTATAATATTCTTTGATGGTGCCGGCGGTATAATTCGACCCATACGCAAATACTTGTTGACCAAGAGATCATGGATGCCCAAGAAATCACTAAAGCGGCGCAAAGTACTAAATTCATTGCGCTTGAATTTGGGAATGTTTGTTTTCGTTGTCACCCTAAACGAATAAATTGCAATTAAATGAGTGAAACGTGATAAGGCTGTGTGACTCACTTGTAGGCCAAATAGGAGCTCATGCCATCGCCCACCTTCTGGGGATCTGATATGACAATTTGAATAAAATAATCACCATCGTCTGTCAGCACTTCCTCTAAATTGCTCGCAGAAATGCGACGCTGCTCGAATTACACACAAATAAATAAATATATATATATATATAATTAGCTTACACTAGAGATGAACTGCACTGCGATAAGTCGCAGTCGTCTTCCTAATCGGCTAGAGGGGCGTCAGCGAGACTCTGTGACGTTGTCACAAATCAAACAAAGCACGCGAGCATTGTAAGCAGAAGATAAAACAGCTCGGACGCCGCCCCACTTGCGACCCATCAAATTTATGCTTAATTGAATAAATACAATATTTGTTCGCTGCTTGCTTACATGCACTTCGCTCGGCGTCATTGCTGATACGAATAAATCATTTTCTTGCTCCAATGTTACGCTGCCCGGTGCTGGGACTTCCTCTTCGTCAGATGCACCGGATACTGAACCATTGTTGATGTCCACATCGGCAAATTCTTGATTGTGCTCAGGTGTTGTCGCTGTGTCGACTTCCATTGTGCAACGGCTCTCAATAAATGTTAATTAAATGCGTTGCGCTAACCGTGGCTCTAAATGTAATTATTGGAATTTTTTGTCGCCCTGCTCGATAGCCGCAAGACAATGGCTTTGGCAATATTATCGATATCTGAATTGCAGTGCAAAGCGTGACCAGCGTATAAAAAGCTCTGGAAAATATACCGACAGCTTAAAATACTGTAAATTGCATGTATTTATTTTTGTTTAGTATATACAAATATATAGCTTATTGAACTTTTTGATTAGCGGAAATCCAGGATATAAACGAAGACACCTGAACGTAGACAGATGGTGAATTGGCCTGTCCACATGGCATTTTCCCCCAGGATACAATGCCAATCAACACATTTCCTTGCACCAAAGGACCACCCGAATCCGAGGTGCAAATGCTAACTCCTCCTGTCAAAGGACCCGTGCATATATTAGTACTATGCACATCCTTACCCAAAGCTATTTCGCAGGACGCGATGGGTATAATAGGTATATTTGCTGCCACTTGCAAAACGCTTGGATACGTGGGTGAACTTGTCTTCGAGGTGCTTCCCCAGCCATAAAGATTTGCAGTGCCAGTTGGTACTACTCCGGAGCTGGGAAGATTTACAGGTTGGACAGCAGAGGTCCAGGTAAAAGCAGTAGGTGTATAAACCAGGCCAATATCATAAGGCACCGCTCCGCCCGTATACAGATCGTTGATGACAAAGTAGGTAATGCTCCGCTTCTGTGTAGTTGAGGCAGTTCCTTGCACCGCATTGCTGCCAGCCACCAAAATACTGCCAAGGACCTGGGCGCGATTCGTCAAGCAGTGAGCAGCCGTAACCAACCAGTTGGCATTCAAGATGCTGGCAGCGCAGTAGTGAGTGCCTTGATACTGCATGGACACCGCATAGGGAGCGCTATTCAATGGGGCCGCAACGCCACCCACAACACGTCCATTAGGACTCAGCTCATCCGCGGTGGATCGGACAACAGCTGCCGATATATGGCATAAGCCAAATAATAGGCAACAGGCAATTAAATATAAGCTCGTGGCTTTCTGACCTTTCAGCAACATGGTTTCCGAGGAACTGTTTACATTTGTCTTTATCGAGCGCCGTTTAAATTAAAAACGAGATACGATTCAAACACAGCGTAGCTAAATGATAAGAAATTTCAATTTGTACTTTCGTGCAATAGATAAGCGTTTTATTTAATTGGAAGGGTGGGAATATTAATTATAATAACTATCTAGCAGTACTAGTGAAAACAATTTAAAGCTGTTAAAAAAATTTAAGTGGAAATATGCCTACTTAGGCTCAAGATTACGATGTTTAAGCCAAATATTGAAAAATTAAACTCAAGTAGTTTTATAGAATTGATATATATATATATATATATATATATATATATATATATATATATATATATATATATATATATATATATATATATATATAGTATTATATATATAGTATTAACAAAATTATATGTATATATAGATAAGAAGCATTACAGTTACACACAAGACAGATATCTCAAGTGGATTGCTAACAAATATTTTGATTTATTGATAAGCCCTAACAGAAATCAAAGGGTTTCAGTAACATTTGCGACACTTTTGATTATATCATCAAAAAAACATTTTTTTTTTTTTTTTTCAAAATATTTGTCCGTTAGCGCCGCGCTGTGACAACTTAGTATTTCGTATGCATCATGTTTTCGGTATTTTTGCGTTCTCTGCATTTTTCACAACTGACTCTACAGTTCATGTTCGATATAGTATATCGATAGCCATCCCTACAACTGACTCAGATCGACTTGGTGGCTGACTTTTTCTACGAAAATTTTGTTAATACTACTACGTTAATAATTGAACTTAGTGCTAAGCATAATCATATTAAAAAGTGCATGCATCGATATATCTATATCTATATTCAAAGTGCAACGTGTATAATAGAAGCCGCATAAGTAACACGCCCCAATAGCAAAACAATAGGTGGGCGAGAGAGAGAGAGTGTGTGAACGAGAGAGAGGCGAGGAGAGGTCAGCAAACTCGCAATTAAGAAAAAGTCGACACGTACAAGAGTTGAAATAGTAGAAGCAGCAGCAGCAGAGCAGCAGAAGCAGCAGAAACCGAAACCGAAAACACAAATAAGTAAACATGTCATCCGGCGACTTTGGCAATCCGTTGCGCAAATTCAAATTGGTGTTCCTGGGCGAGCAGAGTGTGGGCAAAACGTCGCTGATTACACGGTTCATGTATGACAGCTTCGACAACACCTACCAGGCGACAATTGGTATTGATTTTCTATCCAAAACGATGTACCTGGAGGATCGGACAGTGCGGCTGCAGTTGTGGGATACAGCCGGCCAGGAGCGTTTCCGTTCGCTAATACCCTCCTATATACGCGACTCGACAGTCGCTGTTGTTGTCTATGATATCACGAATACAAACTCATTCCATCAGACCTCCAAATGGATCGATGATGTTCGTACGGAGCGGGGCAGTGACGTCATTATCATGCTCGTTGGCAACAAAACGGATCTGTCCGACAAACGTCAGGTGTCCACCGAGGAGGGTGAGCGCAAGGCGAAAGATCTAAATGTGATGTTCATCGAGACCAGCGCCAAGGCCGGTTACAACGTGAAACAATTATTTAGACGTGTGGCAGCGGCGCTGCCTGGCATGGACTCAACGGAGAATAAACCTTCCGAAGATATGCAAGAGGTTGTGCTTAAGGACTCGCCCAATGAGACTAAGGATCCCGAGGGAGGCTGCGCCTGCTAGAACTAGCCCATTCCCAAACCAATCCTCGATCCAGCAACCACGTTCACAACCACCAGCCTCCATTTACCCGCACACAGAACTCCGTTACGACCTCGACAACCTTCACACCTTGATACATGCTGGCACAACCAGGTGTGTAGACCAGGTGTATGTGGGCAACGGGCTTCAACAACACCAAGAACAATGATGATGATGATGAATATGCTTAAACAAGATTGAGACAAAATAAACGAAAACATAAACCAGGCTATAAACTTGAGATGCACACACACAAAAAACACACGATTTTATGTTTAAGTTTATTTATATTTATACAAAGGAAGAAAGAAGTTAATAACTTACTGAAACAACGTATAAAACGAAAATGATAGCAAAACATAAAAATAGACTAAACAATTAATTTAACGCAATCGGCTAAATATGTACGTTAAATCGAATTGCATTGCAATATAAGTAAGCGCCTAGTCCTAATAAACCAAGCTGATTGAGTTAGGCTATGTTCAGATGTGCCACGGCCGAGGCCTTAACAAGCGTTCAGCATGATTAAACTAGTTTATTGTAAAGTGTAGCCTCAACTTACTGACTAATGATAACTACAGTGTTCGCTCGCAAAGTAAACCGTTTCATTTGCTATCAAACAATATGACAAAATGTAAAAAACAAATATTGTAATTAAATTAAGTTCATTTCAAATTGGAGCGTTATATAATATGCTTGTTGACAACGACAGGGGTCGCTCGTTATATTGAAATTAATTTAAAAATCAAAAATATTTGAAAAATTGGAAGTATATATAAGATCAGAGACTTCCTATACTTTGAAAAGCATCTCGTTTCACTGATATCAAAATGAGGTTTTCATTATCTTTATAGCTGAGCAGCTTTTGTAGATTTCACGATATCTAACATATACTACACCATACTATAGTATGATATCATCTATATATATATATATATATAGTTCTTATATCTATACTATATAATATATATAAACATATATATCATACTATAGCCTAACTGGCACGTGTGAACACAGCCTAACCCACTCTCCCCTTCTCTTTCTCTATCCACTCATAACTTGTACTTACAAAAAATGCAAAGAAAAATTTATAGAGAAAAGAGAATGAGAAAGAAAAAGAAAAAGAAGAGAAAAGCAAACAAACTTTAGACACACACGCAAAGAACATTCCAAAGTAGTGTGCTGGTTGCCCTTGTTTCCACCTCCACTCCCTGACCCACAGATACCATTGAGAGCCAGCTTGTGTTCAAGCCGAAACTCCGCTCGCCCCCTGCCTTAACGGATCGTCAACACCCTTCTTCCCATCCGAACCATCAGAACCATGGTCCCATTTATGACTAAGCCCCCGTTTTTTTTGCGGCTTCTGTTTGCGTTTCAAGACCTATATATTCGTTTGTTTTTGTTTATTTTTATTTTGGGATCGGCGCAGAACTTGGCATCTTATGAATAAATATATATGATATGTATTTTTATGAAACAGGCAGTGTAAACAATTAACAATTTATAAAACAATATTAACAATTTTTGCTTCGATTAGCGAGAAAGAATTTTGTGCATTTTTTACGCAAACAAGCAAAAGCTTACAAAATTGATATACAAAAAAAAAAAAAAAAAAAAAAAATACGAAACGCAATTTTTAATAAATCAAATTATGAAAAACTAAACATAATAAGTATTAGCAATAAATTAAAAAAAAAAAAAAAAACTAACTAAATTTTTTAATGAGAAATTGGACTTTCGCGCTGAGAATCAGAAGTCCAAACATTTATTTACAAAACCCACCTCGTGCATATGAGTGACTCACTTCATAACGTGGCTCATTCTTATCGAGCCATTTCCATTAGCTAGTCAACTATCTACGATAAGCATGAAGCTCCCACACACTCAGAAATCAATGGGTAACGAAGCTATCTATATATAAAATATTAATATATGATGTTCATTCAGATCGAGTAATGATCACGAATGAAGAACAGAACAGATCTGTCTACTTTTTTCATATTCCGCATTCTTCTAAACATGTGCAAGATCGTTCATCAGTTCCAACTGTCACTCAATCTACTTTAAATACTCCCATTTCTTCTTAACATATTCAAGATCTTGAATCATTGGTTTGCCTTTGTGTTGAGGCTATATAATTTATTTTGAGGATTTCGTTGATGTAAGCGTAAATACAACTGAATAAGAAATGCCGGTCGTTTGCTATGCAAAGCGCTAAGGTATACATAAGCTTGATATACATATAAATAGAGAATTATATTTTGTTAGGGGGAGTATGCAGGGTGCGTGGTGGCCTAGAAGCTATC